ACACACACACACACACACACACACACACTTTTTTGGTATCAGGAATGACTTTACCACTAAGGACAAGCAAAAGATTGTGTTGCTGTGTCATGTGATAATTGTTGTATGGCTGAAATGATGGGGGAAACCATATGGCTGCTTTGGTCACATGTGTGCATATCCATCCACTTACATTTAACCTTTACCCCAGGGAAATGTATGCCTAGATATTGAGCTGTCTGGGTTCAGAGGAGCCATTTCTGCTATTGTTGACATCAGGCGCTGTCAAAGAGAAACACTAAGCCATTGTTTATATCGAGCTCCCTTCATTTTCTCACGCTCGTTGCCGCAGAAATGGACGGTTCGAAGCAACTTGATTCTGTAGATAAACATCAGAATTCCTGCCTCTCTTATTATCCCTGATTTATTAAAAAAAAATAAAAAATACAGCGTACAGAGAGAAACTTTTTTTTTTTTTTGGGAATCTGACTGACACCAGATGCAAACCAGTCGACGTCACTGATGGCAGCTTTTCTCTCAGATCCCCTTTTACTGTTTAACTGCTCACTAACGGGAAGCCTTACCTCGTTTGGGACTACAGCTCTGCGTAGTACTGCCGTTTGAGGCGTAACACAAGAAGCTTACATTCTGCCTTGTTTTGGCTCATTTGAAAGGAAATGTCTGCCATCCTTTTCCGTTCGTTCGTTTTGTTTTTTTTCTTCTACTTGCCTTATTGTTCGTACAAAACGTATCGTTGAGTTGATGAATGTATTGTGCTGTTACTACTTACTTGCCTGCGCTTGTATGAATTCGCTGTTTCTATGTTTGGCTGGGGGGGAGGGGTTGAAAGGAGGAAAAAAAAAGATTGGATCAATACTGTATACCATGTAACTTATGTAACTGTTTACTGTAACAGTTTGCTTGAATTAATAAAAATCTAATGTTATGTTTCAGGGTTTGTTGTTGCTGTTGAGGTTGCTTGATCTGAGTCCTGTTCTCTGTAAAAGAATAACCGAGTTAGCTTAATTTGATTACGGTTGAACACAAGCCATGATTTCTCAGTGTGCTACGCAGATTAAAAATGAAATTAATAAGAGCAGCGGCCCCTAAACCTCCAAAAGTGCAGATTTATTCACAAGTAACTGGATCATGGCCAAGACCTCAAACCTCGAACCAGTCGCTTTTAGAGACGAGTTGCTCCTTTCATTAAGCTGGTGCAATTTTGCTTTTATAATTATGACATGAATTAAATACTTAAATATAGTGGGAAAACCTACAAATATCTGTTCATTAAGAAAAAAGAGCCAACTCAAATTTAATTTGGGAAATTGTAAGGTATTTCCAGTGTTTGGGGGGAATTGAAGGAAATATTTCCAGCTGACATGAACCAAATGAAAAGGCTGATTGCTAAACTTGATTGCCAGCAAGCCAGCTGAGCCAACAGATGGGTTTGAGGAGATATTTGGTGATATTTGGCTTTCCTGGCTCACCATAATCTGCCGAGAGACCAAAGCACTCAGAACGAGTTTTTTTTGCAACCAATTTCACCAAGCGACTGCAAGCAACCACTAACCAATATTTTTTCCTAGCAGATTGTGGTTGTTAGGGAGGGTCACTGACCAGTCTGTAGATCTGCATGACTGGGGCTTTAGCAACATGTTTCGCAGTGACTCCCTGCCACCTCCAACAAACACTAACCAACCGGCTGGGAAATACACATTCTTACCTATCAATCTGTTTCCAGGTAATCTGTGTAAACGAGAATTTCGACAGATGATCCACGCTGTGAATGCTGTACAAAAAGTCATCCTGTTAGAAACATAATAGCGCAGATAAAGAGTGAAG